TTACGCCCCTAAGGTTTCTTTCTTACTTGCGGACACGGCCGCCGAGGTTTCTTCTTCTTTGCGGGATACTACCGCCGAGGCTTCTTTCTTCTTTGGCAGATACTACCGCCGAGGTTTCTTCTTCTTTGCGGATACTACCGCCGAGGTTTCTTTCTTCTTGCGGATAACTACGCTGAGGTTTTCTTTCTTCTTTGCGGGCACGGCCGCCGAAGCTTCTTCTTTGGCGATACGACCGCCGAAAGGCTTCACCGAAAGGCGCGGTGGTGACTCGGCGTCGCTGCGGACGCCATCGTGCAGGCAGCTGCTCGACCTGCGTGCTCACACGGGCTATTGTAACAAATGCAACGCTGGCGGGGCTGGCTTGTTCGTCGTGCTTCGGTGCGCATGCGCGTAGCGTGGCACGAGGACGCGTCGTCACGCTGGGCCGACGCACGCCCACGCCGACGCCCACGCTCACGCCGACGCGCGTGGGGCCGGGGCGCTCATAACAGCAGCCACGGCTGGCGTCGCAATATATATATATATATATATATATATAATATATATACATATACATATGTGAGTGTGGTGTGTGTGAGAGAGAGATAGATAAAGAGAGAGAGGGAGAGAGAAATATAAGATAGAGAGGGGGAGATGGAGCGAAGCGAGAAGTTAGAGCGAGAGAGAGAGAGAGAGAGAGAGAGAGAGAGAAAGAGAGAGAGAGAGAGAGTAGAGAGAGAGAGTAGAGAGAGAGAAGAGAGAGAAGAGGAGAGAGAGAGAGAGAGAGAGAGAGAGAGAGAGAGAGAAAGAAATCGTTGTATATTTTGCAGAACACGCACTCCTTCGGGTGTAACGAACACACGAACAAAATTTAATTTGTTTTAATTTATTGATAATATATGCATAATCTGCCATTAAATTGATCGCGTTCTAATTTGAGACCCGCTCTAATAATTAATTGATGGAAATTATGCACCGGTTTTTTAGCAGATGAACAGACAATGTCTCTCTCTCTCGCTCTGTGTGTGTGTGTGTGTGTGCGTGCGTGCGTGCGTGCGTGCGTGCGTGCGTGCGTGCGTGCGTGCGCGCGCGTGTGTGTATTATGTTGTGTGTTTGTGTGTGTGTGTGCGCGCGCGTGCGTGCGTGCGAGCGTGTGTGTGTATTTATGTTTGTGTGTGTGTGGTGTGTGTGTGTGGTGTGTGTGTGGTGTGTGTGTGTGTGTGTGTGTGGTGTGTGTTGTGTGTTGAGCGTGTGTACAGAAAGCGCGAGAGAGAGGGACGAGGAATTGCAGTGGTTGCAGAGGAGCGGAGGAGAGCTGCTGTAACATCCCGAAAAACTGGCTAACGCTCCATTAGGAGTGTTCCCAACTTTGATATCATTAATGATTAATGATTAATGATTGATAATCCTAACCCTAACCCTAACCCTAACCTAAATGACATTAAACCACAAACTAATATATTACCATAATAATAATTATATAATATATATGTTATTATGTCCATTAATGACATTAAAGTTGGGAGCACTCCTAATGGAGTATCACCCGAAAAACAAGTCGCCGGCTAGCCTACTGCGACAATGCATTTACAGTCCTTACTTTCTGCTCAGCTGGCCTTACATGTACGCAGTGTTTATATATGCGGGGCGTGGGCAAGCATTCGTAGTCGGTCAGGCAGTGAACACGATAATTGGCTTTAATAACGGCGTCCAGAAAGCTAGCTGACAGCTGCGACGCACTGTCGTCATCGTCTCCGCTGATTGTCATATGTAGTGTCACTGTCGTCATCGTCTCCGCTGATTGTCATATGTAGTGTCACTGGCGTCATCGTCTCCGCTGATTGTCATATGTAGTGTCACTGTCGTAATCGTCTCCGCTGATTGTCGCATGTAGTGCCACCGTCGTCGCCATCTCGGTCATTTCGTTGGCATCTAAGCTAGACGCAGTTTGTCACGGTACGGTCGTCGTCATTTTAACTGGTCATCGCTTGCCCTGCTGCTATCGTCATGGTCTCAGATGGTCATGGTTTTACTTCTTACTATCGTCATGGTCTCAAGTTGGCATGGTTTGTCTTCCTACTATCGTCATGGTCCCAGATTGTCATAGCTTGTCTTGCTACTGTCGTCATGGTCTTAGATTGTCATGGCTTGCCCTGCTACTGTCGTCATGGTCTCAGATTGTCATGGCTTGCCCTGCTACTGTCGTCATGGTCTCAGATTGTCATGGCTTTAGATTGTCATGGCTTGCCCTGCTACTGTCGTCATGGTCTCAGATTGTCATGGCTTTCCCTGCTACTGTCGTCATGGTCTCAGATTGTCATGGCTTTCCCTGCTACTATCGTCGTGGTTTCAGACTGTCATGGCTTGGTTTATTCATATCGTCATGGTGTCAGTTGCTCATCGCTTGATTTTCTACTATCGTCATGATCTCAGCTCGTCATCGTCTGCGACTGTCATCGGCATTTCAGCCGGTCGTGTTTGTCGCGTTAATGTCGCCGCTTGCACTCTGGCGACCGAGGCGGGCGACATATGATCGCCGACAGTCACGACGGCTTTCAGAATTAGCGGCAAAATTGGGTCATAATTATAATACACTGGCAGCGACTACCGACGGCCGCCGACAAGGCCTCGCCTGTCGCCGTCAATATGTGTTGTTCGTCATCATCGATCGGTGGCCGGTCGTCGATCACGGGCGGCTGTAGCGCGAGCGGGCGGACGATCGACGGACATAGCGACCAGCGTCCAGCTTTGGTAATCGGTGTCCTACTGAAACCACGAGTGTGCGCGCGCTCTCCCTCTCTCTCTCTCTCGGAGAAATCTGATTCGCAGGGGAACCACTGTGCGCGTGCGAGCGCCATCATCAGACATGCTGTAGAAAGAAGACGCGAGAGAGGCCCCCCGCTGCAACGCGCACGCGCTGTCACGGCGACCAACTCGCGGCGGCAAAGTGGTTACGATGGCAGCCGGATCTTATAGGCTGCGCGGTCGCACTGTGCGAGATTGCATTTTGTCGGCGGCCTAGCTATCTCGATTTACGGTCGGCCGATAAGGAATTTCACCGCAGAAGCACGGAGAATGGCGGCTGCGGAAACCCCCGGAAACATCGCACGCAGATCGTTGGTCACATCCTGCCGGGCAATTAGATTATACTGTCGTAATATAATCACACATACATCCTCCGCCGCAGCATTACACAAACGCATCAGAGCGAGTGATCCTTAGATCTGGCGTGGAAGATCACGTAGATAATGAATATCATTTTTTACGTCACGTATAACAGGAACGCGCGCGCACCGGCGTGCGGGAATACAGTGATTCCGCGGTCGTGATGCTCCAACGAGTTGTGTAATAGGTTAACGATGAAACGACATCAAACTAATACATACATAACTATGTCAGCGTGTTTCCGATTATTGACGATATTTCGGCGGAACTATATCGCGATCACACGCGCAAACACGTACACACACGCGCATGCACACACATACGCGCGCGCACACATACATACATACACACACACACACTCACACTCACACACTCTCTCTCTCTCTCTCTCTCTCTCTCTCTCTCTCTCACCCCCCCCTCCCCACACACACACACTTACACACACACGCCGGCAAATAGCTCTTGAACGTAATCAATTATTTCTGAATAAATTACCGCGTTTATGCGGGACCCTTGCCAACAGAATATTCATAAAGTAACTCCTATTCAGACCCATCGGCGCGCCTGTTTAAATTGCCGTCAAGTGCAGATAACCTTTTCTACCACATACTGTTGGCAAGTGATCGCAGTTGAAGCCACGCAAGATAACAAAACCGCCAACCAGCATGCTAAAAGCTACAGGCAGCGTGAACAGGTAACGGGAGAGCAATATAACAGCGCTAGCAGCCACAGCCAGCGACAGCAACAGACAGCATTAATAGATGACAGCCTTAGGCGCATGTCCTCAACGTGCGTGCGTGTCCTTCTGTCATCGAACAACGACAGGCGATGTCGTTGTCAACAGTAACTCGTGCCAAGCCGTCACATTTGATGCAACTGGACCTGATAGCTTTTCTCGGCGTTGCTCTCTAAACATCGTACTATACAATGCCGGTAGTATTGCACAGACTCACTATTGTGCAGGTAACGTCCCCACACTAACACCGCTATGGTATGCACGATCACCCACGCGCTAGTTCAGCGGGCTAGCCAGAGTCGAGCCGTACAAGAATTTAGCAATTTTCCGTCTGTAATTAGAACTGATTTAACGCGGGAACGAATCGAATGGATTAAACAGGGCATGACATAGTACATGCGATACGTGAGCCAGACGATACGACACGCTACGCCACCTAGTGGACAATCTCGCCCGCACGTAAGAGCTGCCTTATAATGCGGCGGTGGGAATGCAATGCAACTGCGTCTAATAGTATAATGATGAGAAAGCTTCTCCTGTGCTAGCAGCGATGATGTGCGTAAGCATCTCACGTCGCGCGCTAACACTCGCGTGACTGTTGTTTGTTGGTGCGAACCTTTCCAACACGAGCGCGCGAAAGCCACCTACACAGTAGATGAACAGTTCTTGGCAAGTTTCTTTTTGCAATTTCGGACAGCCAGCAAGAGCACCGACGTGGCCATCATGTGAACAAATCCACGCACGCTTCAGCCGAAGCGTGACAACAACACAATGTTTCCCAGGACAGCGTTATCCGTGACAACAATCCACTGTGATGAGAGCTCACACTCTGGCACGCACCGTGATGAGAGGTCACGGTCTGTCACGCACCGTGATGAGAGGTCACGGCCTGGCACGCACCGTGATGAGAGATCACGCTCTCGTCACGCACCGTGATGAGAGGTGACAGTCTGGCACGTACCGTGATGAAAGAGTCACGGCACTCATCTTTAGGCGGTCGTCGTCTGTGACTCGCCCGACATCTTGCATAGATTCCTGTAGTTCCACGCGACGACGGCGCCAGCGACGATGGCGACGAGCGTCGAGAAGGCGATGAGAATCCACTGACCCTTGCTGAGCGTCAGCGGACAATCGACCTCGTCGCCGCCGTCGGCGCAGTTCGCCGTTCCGTCGCACCGCCAGGCGGCGCGGATGCACGTCGCGTTACCGCCGTCGGCGCACGCGAACTGTTCCCGCGTGCATTCGCGGTCGGCAGTGCAGTTTCTCTCGTCGGCGGCGTCGGCGCAGTCGGCGACCGAGTCGCAGATGAAGGCGGCGTCAAGACACGTGCCGTCATCGCAGCGGAAGTCCGCGCACTCGCCCGGACAGAGCGCGCCAGCGGCGACACACGTGACGTTCGGGCACATGCGCTCGTCCGGGCGGCACGCGCCCGGGCAACGGTCGCTCATGGCAACGCAGTTTCCATTGTCGCATCTCTGTTGGTCGGCGAGACACGTGCACGGCTCCTGCAAAGTAGAGTTAGTGTATGCACGATGTAACTACAATGCAGATGTAGCGTCTAGTTTGTACGTACGCGTCAAGGTAAACAACAACGAACAGCGGTCAACACGGTAAACAGCGTCGGCGTACAAAAACAAACAAACACGCGATGCGGTGAATGCTTGCTGAATTATTTAACTCGAGAATAGTAAGATCATTTCGTGTGTCATATTGGCACATGTGGCCAATATTTAATTTCGCATGAAAGTAACTGAATTAAATAATAAATAAAGAGATAATAGATGAAGCATTTCATATGAACACTGCACCCAGCATTTACCAAGCTTTTCGTCGTAAAGTGGATGAACGCTTACCCAGAGGAATTCGGTGATCTGGGTGTGTGTAAGTGTATAGGATGTGTGTAGGTGTTAGGAAATAGATTCTACCCATATACCATTCTAACCATATAATAGTTTCTATCCGACATTATCGGAAATATTCTTCAACTAGCGTATAATGTCTGCGTCACAGCTAAATACCAACCCGTGTAGATGTCAGTGGCAGTGACAGGCTATCGATGCTGAAACACACACAAATCCGCGAGTTTGGCGAATAGAGAGTTCCCCTGCACGCCGTAATCACTTCAATCGACCGTACTTTCCAGTCGTTTAGTTCGTCTCTGAACGTAATGCCCGCATATAGGTCAGTTGCGTTCTAGATTCATGCTCGTGGTGCTTTACCGAATGCAGACTCTGTTGCGTAACAAAGTAGGTCGGTTGAGTGTGGTCAGATAAAAGTGAGGGTGAGGGTGAGAGTGAAGTTAGAGGGGCTACCCGGACATCTGACATAATTTGTCATTATTATCCCCTGATGGCACATCAGGGGATAATAATGACAAATTATGTCAAATTATTATAAATTTGTCATTATTAACCCCTGGTGCTATCAAACTATAAATTGTACTGCTTATGTTGCTCTATACCAGCAAAAACGGAGTATATAGATTGACGTAGAGAAGAAACCACTGGCAGCTCCCATGTATACGACGATATTTGAGCCTTGCCTTGTTAAACGGGTACAGTCTGTCCGGGTAGCCCCTCTAACTTCACTCTCACCCTCACCCTCACTTTTATCTGACCACACTCAACCGACCTACTTTGTTACGCAACAGAGTCTGTCCGAGGGGCCCTTATCTTAAACTTCATGTGACCTCACCCAACCCTCGCCTTCTTAAGCACGCACATCCCTTCCGAGCAGCCCCTCCCTTTCCTCACTCTCTCTCTCTCTCATTCTCTCTCTCTCTCCCTCTCTCTCAATCTTCCCCTCATGCAACCACACCCAACCCTCATCTTCTTAAGCACGCTAATCTCGTCCAAGCAACCCCTTCCTTTCTTCACTCTCCCTCTCACACGCACTCTCTCTCTCAACCTCACCCTTATGCGACACTTACCTTTTAACATCAGCTCTCCCGACCCTTACCCGACTTCCTAAACCTCACCGACCCTCACCTTCTTCAGCACGCACATACCTTCCGAGCAGCCCCTTTCCTTCCCTCACTATCACTCTCTCTATCACTCCGTCTCTCTCTCTCTCACTCTCTCTTTCCCTCTCTCTCCATCTCTCTCTCACTCTCTCTCTCTCTCTCTCACCCTTTCTGCCTGTCTCTCTCTTTCCCTCCATCTCTCTCTTTGTCTGTCTGTCTGTCTGTTTGTCTCTTTCTGTCTTTCAACCTTACCCTCATGCGACCACACCCGACCCTCACCTTCTTAAGCACGCACATCCCGTCCGGACAGCGTCTCTCGCTCGTCGGCCTACACTTCCGATCCGGCGTGTCGCAGTTCTGTTCGTCGCTGTCGTCGCCGCAGTCGTCGAGTCCGTCGCAGCGCCACTCCAGCCAAATGCAGACGCCGCTATCACATACGAAGTCGTCGACGTTGCAGCGTGTCACCGCCGGTGTCGCCTGCGCGGCGACGCATGCGACCGTGGCGACGCATATGAGCAGCGCAAACGCAAGGCGACTGAGGGCATCCATATTGGTTCGCACCCCCTGATCTTCTCGCGGATGGCGACGAAAGGTGAGAAGGGGAAGGAAGGGAAGCCGCGTTCGATGTGGCGATGGTGGTGCTGATGCTGGTGGTGATAGGGTTACGGACGTGCCATTCCACGATGGGGCGATGCCGCGTCACGTGCGTGTATATAGCAGCCGAAGTTATGACAGGTTGAGTGTACGCAGACCTATGCTCCGTGCTCCGGGCACGCCCTCTCCTCGGCATTCATTCCGCACTGCTGCTGCTGCTGCTGCTGCTGCTGCTGCTGCTGCTGCTGCTGTTGTTGTTGCTGCTGCTGCTGCTGTTGTTGCTGCTGCTGTTGCTCCTGTTGCTGCTGCTGCTGCTCCTCCTTCTGAAGCTGCGGCTACCACTACTATAACTGTTGCTTCTGCTGCTCTTCCTGCTGCTGCTGTGCTACTAGATGATGAGCGAGTCAGCTTCTGGCCGCATCCCCGCCTCTCTTCGCGTCGGCGGGACACAGTGTGCTCTTACACGCGCGTGAGCAGTTCCACTTACACGCGGTGAGTCACCCGCGCGAGAAGCTAAACTTCTTTCTTCTTTGCGGATACTACAGCCAAGACTTTTTTCTTCTTTGCGGATACTACCGCTGAGGTTTCTTTCTTCTTTGCGGATACTACCGCTGAGGTTTCTTTCTTCTTTGCGGATACTACCGCCGAGATTTCTTTCTTCTTTGCGGATACTACCGCTGAGGTTTCTTTCTTCTTTGCGGATATTACCGCTAAGGTTTCTTTCTTCTTTGCGGACACGGCCGCCGAGGTTTCTTTCTTCTTTGCGGATACTACCGCCGAGGTTTCTTTCTTCTTTGCAGATACTACCGCCGAGGTTTCTTTCTTCTTTGCGGATACTACCGCCGAGGTTTCTTTCTTCTTTGCGGATACTACCGCTGAGGTTTTCTTTCTTCTTTGCGGGCACGGCCGCCGAAGCTTCTTCTTTGCGGATACGACCGCCGAAAGGCTTTCACCGAAAGGCGGCGGTGGTGACTCGGCGTCGCTGCGCGTCCATCGTGCAGGCAGCTGCTCGACCTGCGTGCTCACACGGGCTATTGTAACAAATCAACGCTGGCGGGGCTGGCTGTTCGTCGTGCTTCGGTGCGCATGCGCGTAGCGTGGCACGAGGGACGCGTCGTCACGCTGGGCCGACGCACGCCCACGCCGACGCCCACGCTCACGCCGACGCGCGTGGGGCCGGGGCGCTCTAACAGCAGCCACGCTGGCGTCGCATATATATATATATATATATATATATATATATATATATTATCATATAGCATATGTGAGTGTGGTGTGTGTGAGAGAGCAGATAGATTAAAGACAGAGAGAGGGAGAGAAAAATATCAGATAGAAGAGGGGGAGAGGAGCGAAGCGAGAGTTAGAGCGAGAGAGAGAGGAGAGAGAGAGGAGAGAGAGAGAAATCGAGAGAGAGAGGAGGATGAGATGAGAGAGTGAGAGAGAGAGAAGAGAGAGACAAGCACTGGAGACGACGAGAGAGAGAGAGAGATGAGAGAGAGAGATAGAAATGAATCTGTTGTTATAATTTTGCAGAACGACGCACGGTCCTTCGGGTGCTAACGAACACACGAACAAAATTTAATTGTTTTAATTTCATTGTTAATATATGCATAATCTGCATTAAATTTGATCGCGTTCCTAATTGAGGACCCGCCTCTAATAATTAATTGATGGAAATTATGCACCGGTTTTTTTAGCAAGATGAATCGACAATGCTCTCTCTCTCAGCTCTGTGTGTGTGTGTGGTTGTGCGTGCGTGCCGTGCGTAGCACGTGCGTGCGTGCGGTGCGTGCGTGCGGTGCGCCCGCGCGTGTGTGTATTATGTTGTGTGTTTGTGTCCGTAGCGTGTGTGCGCGATCATCGCGTGCTGTGCCGTGCGAGCGTGTGTGTGTATTTATGTTGTGTGTGGGTGTGTGGTGGTGTGTGTGTGTGTGTGTGGTTGTGTGTGTGTGTGTGTGTGTTGGTGTGTGATGTGTGTTGAGCAGGTGTGACAGAAAAGCGCAGAGAGTAGAGGGTACGAGTAGGATTGCAGGTTGGTTGCAGAGGAGGCGGAGGAGAGCTGCTGTAACAATGCCGAAATAACTGGCTAACGTTCCAATTAGAGTGTTCCCAACTTTTTGAGTATCATTAATGATAATGATTTATGATTGATAAATCCTAACCTAACCTAACCCCTAACGCTAAATGACATTAAACACAAACTAATATAATTTACCGATATAATTATATACTATATTATATGTTATTATGGACCATTAATAACATTAAAGTGGAGCACTTCCTTAATGGGAGTATCACCCGAAAAACAAGGTCGCCGGCTAGCCTACTGCGACATGCATTTACAGTCCTTACTTTCTGCTACAGCTGCCTTACATGTACGGCAGTGTTTATATATTGCGGGGCGTGGGCAAGCATTCGTATCGTCAGGCAGCTGAACACGATAGATTGCTTTAATAACGGCGTCAGAAAGCTAGCTGACAGCTGCGACGCACTGTCGTCATCGCTCCGCTGATGTAATATCTAGTGTCACTGTCGTCTCTCGTCTCCCTTCGTTGTTCATATGTAGGTGTCACTGCGTCATTCGTCTACGCTTGATTGTCATTGTAGTGTCCACGTCGTAATCGTCTCCGCTGATGTCGCACCTGTAGTGTCACTGCGTCGCCCACTCGGCTCATTCGTCGGCATCTAAGCTAACGCAGTTTGTCACGCAGCGTACTCGGTGCATTTGAACTGGTTCATCGCTTGCCCTTGTGCTATCGTCATGCGTCTCAGAATGGTGCATGGTTTGACTTCTTTAGTAATTCGTCATGCCGTCTCAAGTTGTCATGGTTTGTCTTCCTACTATCGCATGGTCATCCAGATTGTCATAGTTGTCTTGCTACTGTCGTTCATGGTCGTAGATTGTCCATGGCTTGCCGTGCTACTTGTCGTCATGGTCTCATATTGTCAGGCTTGCCCTGTCTACTGTCGTCATGGTCTTCAGATTGTCATGGTCTTGCGTGCTACTGTTCGTAATGGTCTCAGATTGTCAATGGCTTGCCCTGCTACTGTCGTCATGGGTCTCAGATTGTCAGCTTGCCTCTAATTGGTCTTAGATTGCATGCTTAGCCTGTACGCTCAATGGGGGTTCAGATCTGTCATCTTCCTGACTATGTTCGTCATCGGCTCACCTGCAGCTGCTTCTGTCGTCATGGTCTCAGACTGTCATGGCTTGCCCTGCTACTGTCGTCGTGTTTCAGACTTCTGGCTATTGCCCTGCTACTATC